CCAACCCCCTTTCTCAGGCCCATGCAAAGATAATTACACAAGTCTTTTTTTGTTCTGGGCATCTTGCCAGACCCCCTTTCTCAGGCCCATGCAAAGCCAATTACACAAGTCTTTTTCTGTTCTGGACATCTTGCGAGACCCCTCTCTCAAACCCATGCAAAGCCAATTACACAAGTCTTTTTTTGTTCTTGGCATTTTGTCAGGCCCCCTTTCTCAGACCCATGCAAAACCAATTATACAAGTCTTTTTCTGTTCTGGGCATCTTGCCAGACCCCTTTCTCAGGCCCATGCAAAGCCAATTACACAAGTCTTTTCCTGCGTTTTTCATTGGTAGATGACACACCTTCCCCCCACTCAAAACGCGATGTCCCCATCACGCGACTGGTTCTCACTCGGAGGTACGCAGACCTTTGGCCCGCCGACCGCAGTCAAGGACATAATCTCATCCGCTTCACAAGGGAAAAGTGATTAGTTCCTCCCCAGTGGGTGGCGCCTCATCCTCCTACTCGATCCGACCTCTTACTATTTCGTGGTGAGCACCAATACTGAGGTTCCTCCTCACATCTGGCAGGCAGGTCCAGTCTAGGCCTTCCAGGGCCTCGTTTATCCGTAAGAGCTTCCCTCGCGAATCGTTCCTCCCGAGTGGTAATTTTCTGGATTCGGTCTCTTCCTTTCAAGAGAGTTGGGGCTCTCTATTAATTTGTGAGTGCAGTTACGAAGACCTCACAATTAGTCCCGAAACGGTTGTAATGTTCCAGCGAGGCAGTGTCAATGCCTCGTGGTGGTGGCGGACTCCACCCGGTACCTCACCCGGCCCCTCCCCCTGGATAGTGCTGCCCAACTTAGTGCGGGCAGTCGAGGTCCGACCCAAACGGCCATTCCACCCCTCTATGGTATGGCGTGTGGTTGGAGAGTAGCAAAGGAGACTAGAATAAGAATGAATCTCTCGCCCATTTGGTTCTCTCACCCTCTGACGTTTAGGCTCTCAGCATGAGACGCAATTTGAACTCCTCGACTAGAGCTCATTGTCGGGGTTAGTTCCGGACGGCCCGGACCGATCCAAGGGATAGGTGCCTTGGTCCTTTAACCCTCATCCCCTTGTAAGAGGAACAGGCCGCGCTGAGACTTTTCCCTTTAAGGGATAGAGGTCTTGACGTCGCGGCGCAAGCACCAGTACCCCCCTCTTGCTGAGGCCAAGGACTAGAAAAAAAGAGAAATCTATTTGCTATTTCCAAGTTCATTTCAAGTTGCCTAGGGTCCCCTGTTTATGCAATGCAATTTTTGATGCTCATTCCAATTTCAATACTCAATCCAATTCCAAAGCTCAATCCAATTCCAAGGCTCAATCCAATTCGAAGGCTCAATCTAATTCCAAGGCTCAATCCAATTCAAAGACTCAATGCAATTTCAAGGCTCAATCCAATATCTCTTCCAATGCTGAGTCCAATATTTTTTCCAAGGCTCAACTCTTCTCAATCTCATCCATCTGAAACGATCATGCAAGGGGACCCCAGTGCCAATTTCAAAGAATAACCCTTATCAGGGGTTATTCCGAACAACCTGGTTAGGGTCATTCTTGTCCATTCCAATCGGACAGCCTGGCTAGGGCCATCCTTATCCATTTCCATCGGAGAGCCTGGTTAGGGCCATCTTTATCCATTTCCATCGGACAGCCTGGTTAGGGTCATCCTTATCCATTTACATCGGACAACTGGGTTAGGGTCATCCTTATTCATTTGCATAAGACNAGGGTCATCCTTATTCATTTGCATAAGACAACCTGGTTAGGGACATCCTTATCCATTTCCATCGGACAGCCTGGTTAGGGTCATCCTTATCCATTCCAATGTTAGCACCCGAGGGGGTGGGCCTCGAGGACACAGATCCATTTCTGTCTCAGGGGTTAGAAGGTCGCCATCTTCTAAGGTTTTACGCATGCCTTTTGTTTTGTCTCCCATCAACACCATTCTCTTGTCCATGCATACATCCGACTTAGCGTCTAGTGCTTGAGTAGAGGCCTCGTAGCCCCAAGCAGCACTAGCCCACCCGGCCGTTCAACCATTGCGGACGGTGCTTGCTCAATCAATGTGTTCCTTTCTCTTCCCGACCTCTCATGCCCCTCATTGCTTGTGAAACTGTTTTTGACCGGTTGAATTAGGCTCCTAGGGAAGAGGACTCTTCATGCCTCCTTACCCATAGGTCCCCTAACCTCTCATAAAGACTCATACCATGACTCATTCATCCAAGGGTACACATTTCACCAAACTCTTTTGCCATAGACTTTCTTCGATCTCGAGAATTCCCATGCTCTCCCCCTTTCCCAAAACAGAGTCAATCATTCCCAATTTCCATCTCATTATCATTGATCGTCATGTTTTCCAAAGGAGCGAGTACTTATGCAAAGCAGCACTAGTTACCTAATCCCTATTTACTTCCCTACTTCAAGGAGCAGTCCTGTTCGCGGTTTTTCAGAAAAAAAAGAAGAAAATTCATGTGCAAGAACGACACCCCAGGCTTGTCTCCTCTGGGTTACCTTTTTCCTTTTTGCCTTTTCTAGACGTAGTCAGCCTTTCATAGTTCTAGTCTCAAACTTATTGGTCCTCACGTCCTTCTGAAGAAGCAAGTATTTGTGCAAAGTAGCACTAGCTGCCCAGTCCTTAGTCATTTTCTGAATGGAAAGTTGTCCCATTGTGGTCTATTCCCAAAAATTAAAATGCAAAGTTTCATATGACAGTTCTGCTTACCCAGGTACCCATCCTCCCCATTCTCTAGCTATTCCCTGTTATGTCCGTTGTCCCCCTGTTGCTCAGTTGCCCTGTGTTGGCCTGCCTTCCGCGAGCGTCGATTTCCTGCTGGATCCTTCTCTTCGTCCTTTGTAAATCAAGGAGTGCCCCTTCCGTGAAGAAGGTCGTCGATGTTATGTCATTTCCCCTGCTTAGCTTTTCTTGTGCCTTGATGGCCCACTCATATCGCATGATACTCGTCCATTGATCAAACCAATTGCTGCAAGATGGGTCAAACTCCTTTATCCATTTGCCATTTTCATCGCTTGGATCCTCATTCCTTGCCCGTACTTCTTCAGTTGGTCTTGTGAACTCCTCGTCCTCCTCCCCGCTGTTGAGATCTATGATCTCGTTGGGCTCTTCCTCGTCCAACCTCTGCCTCTTCCTTGGGCTCACATTCCCCCCTTTATTGCTCTCACTGTCAGATGGGAGATCTATTGGTTCCCCCTCCCTCAGGGGTGAGGGTCCCCTGGTCCCTTGCTTCCTTCCCCCTCTGCCCACAACCAAGTTAAAGTCAAAACCCACATACCACTTCCTCTTTCTGGTACTTGATTCCCCAGCCGGTCTTGTCCCTTGTTCCCCGCTGGGCCTGTTGATGGCATTGTTGTCATTCTCATTTCCGAATTCCATTTTTGTATTTTCTTGTTGTGTTCTTCTTCCCTGGTCTTGTTCATACATAACAACCCCTCAACAACCCTCATACACACACATTCCCTCCCACTCCTATTGCGAATTTGAAGGCTCATTCCCCATAACCCGTGCTTGCCTCCCATATGATTGGTTGTCCTCTCAGAGTGGCGGCATAGGCGGCAGTCCCATCATCCCCAAAAACTTTGGTGCATTGTCCCAGCACATAGGTACCCCATATAGGCGGTTCCAAAATTGTCCCACAAAACTATGATACATTGTCCCAGGAGAAGACACAAAAACGAACAACGCCTGCAGTCATGATCACTTTCGCAGAGAAGCGGTACAAAATTATGGCCAGCTGCCTGCCTTTCAAGTTGTCGATTCCCCTGTTTCTTTGTCCTGAACCGCTTGCAACCATTGCTCCACCGGATCTCGGCTCAAGAACCTGACGAGCCTCTGCCCCAGAAGTGACCGTTTTATCCCAGTACCGTCAAGATCCTCAAGTTCAAAAGTGTTCATTCCCACTCGCTTAGTGATCCTGTAGGGGCCTTTGAACCTTTTTCCCAGTTGTCCTGACCACGTGCTTTCAAGAGCCGAGTTCCTGACTAGTACCATTTCCCCCACCTGGAGCGGCTCCTTCCGGATGTTCTTGACCTGGTCCTACCTTGCTTTGTCCCTCATTCGACTATCCATCACACGCTTAACCACATCCTCCAAGGCTTCCTCATTTCTAATGACCTGTTGGCATCGTGCGGCGATTAGTTCCTCCGTAGATATGTGTGGGTTGTCATCTAGCCTGTTCCAGGTAGGAACCAAGGCTTCCACCGAGAAATAAATCCCTCTCCCATACCAGAGTTCTACCGAAATGCACCCCGTCGTCCTCTTCGGCGTCATGTTCTCTGAGAAGGCCGCCTGCTTAAGGTACCGAGGCCAATTTCCCAGGTCATCTGCCGCTAACTTAGCGATTGTGTTTTTCAAGGTTCGGTGTCCCCTTTCTACAGGTGCATTGGCCTCAGGATGGTATGGCTCGATGATCGTGATAGGTACGCACAGTATCTTGAGCCTGCTTAGCACTTCGTGATTTACGAACTCCGTCCCATTATCCGCTATGAACCTGCGCACAAAGGGGTGCCTTAGGTAGAAGTCTGCTATCCAGTCAGCCACTTCATTTCCGGTCTTTCTTTTAAGAGCTACTGCCTCTACATAGTCGCTGAGGTTATCTCTTGCATCCAAGATGTACCTGTATTCATCCGTCGATACAGGTATGACCGCAATGTCAAGGTGGACCAGGTACCCCGGCCCCAGTACCCGAGTAGGTTTAAGGGGCTCGAAGACACGTGCGAAGCTCCTTTCCTGACATATTAGACACGTCTAACAGTACGTAGCCACCATACCTGCCATACCTGGCCAGAAGTAAAGTGGCGTGATTTTTGCAAGAGTCCCTTTGGATGACCGATGTCCTCCGGCTATCCCATCATGCATTGCCTAAATTATGTCCAACAGCCTAGACCTTCCGCACACGACACGCCTAGGCATCATTCCCTCTTCCTTCTTGAACAGGTGGTCATTCCTTAAGACATACCTTTCGGCTTCCTCCCTTGCCTTGAGGCTGACTTCCATAGGCTGTTTGTTTCCTATAAGCAACATACCAAAATTTCCCCGAAGATGCCATCATACATCTGTACGATGACGAATTTTTGTCCTTCCTGATTGATATCTTGCTTTTCATGAGTCTGACTCACTAGGTACTGCCGCTCCCTTCACGTCCAAGTCTCTACTAGGCACATCACGGCATCCCAACCCCCTTCAATGGCTATTGTCATCAACTCCTCTTTCGGCCCCATCGTCGCTTCCCACGAATCCTTCTCATCTTTGCGTCTGACCGTGGTGACAATAATTGTCCTGGCATGCAAGCGAGGCTCATAATTTCATTATCTGCAACGACGGTTCCTCCTTCGTACTCTAGGAGGGCGTCGATTGACTCCACATCCTCTACTCCCTCCGGCGTGATGCAAACCCGACTTAGTCCGTCCGCCCTGTTTCGGAGCCCCGCAATTCGTTCGACCTTGTAGTCGAACTGCAAGATAAAGTCTATCCATCTCCCAACGGTCGGGTCTATAGGTTTGTAGTTCTTTAATGCCCCAACGACATTGGTCGGATCGATTCTCAGGATAAACCGTCTTCCAAATAGGTATGCCTGAAAGGTCTTGAGGCAATGTAGAATGGCTAAAACCTCTTTCTTGAACTGTGAGTATCGCCGATGTGCCGAGTTCAGGGTCCTACTCTCAAATCTGATAGGCCTTTCCTTGCCCTCCTCGCTCCTTTGTATCAGGACTCCTCCTACTGCCAATGGTCCTCCATATGTTTCTAGGATAAAGGGTCGTCCTACTTCATCATTGAAGCAGGGTGCTGCCAAAATGACCTGATCGGAAGCCAGGATGTCTTTGAGGGTCTGGAATGTTGCTTCCCTATCCTCGGTCCACTCTATAGTCCCTCCTTCCTTAATCATTGTGCGGATAGGCTCAACTATTTTTGCAAAGCCTTTGATAAAGATCCTCCAGAATCCAACCACCCCTAGGAAAGCTCGTACTTCCGTTGTGGTGCGCACGGGTGTTAGTCATTGAGAGATTTTATCCGTCTTGGCCGGGTCGGGCTTCCTCCCATAGGCCCCACAGCGAAACCCCAGTATGGTCACTTCTGGGACCGCCAGGATGCTCTTTGGTCCGCTTGCGGTAATATTATATATCAGGAACCGTTAAAGTAGGTCCTTGATATCCTGTAGGTGATCCCAAACGAACTTTCGTATGCCCGGCTGGACCTTTGTCTCATCCTTGTTTTGCGCGCCTTTTATGGGATTATCGTCTATGTACGGCTCACATTTTTCCGGGAACATGTCCCCTGCGACGGCAAGCATCCTCCTTTGCGCCTCTGCCACAACGTTTGTAAAGCCCATAGGGGTCACTTGCATCTGCAGTTGCTCTACCGGGGTGTGCATAGCAGTGTACGGTTTATCCCTAGCGTCGAGTGACAGTTGACCATATCCTGGATATAGGTCTATCAAGGAATAAACGCTCCGGCCGGCGTGGGATTCTGCCAGTAGGTCGGTCTGTGAAAGTGATCCAGCATCCCGGATTGTTACCACATTCAGCTTCTGCAAGTCTTGGATCCATCTGATCGTCTTGTTGGGCTTTCGAAAAACGAACCATTTGTTCGCGTAGGGGGATGCGGAGGGTTCAGCCACGAACGAATCTATCTTGGCCCTAAGCAGCTTAGTGGCTTTCGCCGCTATTCCGAAGTCGTAGGCAGGCCCCTTGTCGTTCCAGCATTCGTGTTCCACCGTGTGGATCCTAACAGACGAGATTAGCTTTGCATCCAGTCGACCTTTCTGGTGGTCATTGAACGCAAAAACTAAATGAAACTCTTGGCAGGCTTTCCTTATCAGCTAGGTCTCTTCCACCATTAGGAACCCATCTACCCCTATTTTCATGGTATCTGCTACTTCATCAGGTATCCGATGCCCTTCCGCTGCTCGCCTCTCCCTTATTATCCGCAAGATTTCTTTCTCCTTTTCCATGGCCTCTTCCCTTGATGTTTCTACTAGGATTGAGACCGACTTGGCTTTCTTTCCTACCGGTTTGTACTTTCGCACACTCCCTTCTGGGATGGTTCTCCTAAAAAATGAACGGTCGGGATCGGCCTTACCGCCTCCATGACGCGGGGTTGAAGACTGACTACCTTTCCGTTCAGACGATAGCCTTTTCGGACCTCATCTTCGAATTTGGCAAGCCCTGCCGGGTCCACCCCTACTTCTTGGTATATGATAGCCTTAACGAGTTGTAAGAAGTCTGGGATTTCGAGCACTACCTCCGGCGTTTCCTTCCGGTCTTCCTTTGACTTGGGCAAACTAGCCCCAAGTTCGATTTCCGACTCCTTTTCTGCCACCATAACCCCTAGGACCTCGTCCTCTTCCTTTTTGCTAAAGGCCTCCTCAATCATGATCTCGACTCTTTCCCTCATGCCCTCCATCCGGGCGAATACCCCTTTTCTCGCACTATCTTCGAACGTTGGCTACCAGGTTGCCAATTTGCCCTTCGGAGGGTCCCCTCCGGCCCCAAGGAGTCGGAGGAGCTCTCCGCGGTCGGTCATTGGGTCCTCTATATCCACCATGTGCGTGCCATCATGCAGATGCATACCTATCATCTCTACGTTGGCGCACCATGGCCTCCTGAGAATTATGTCATGTTTCATTTCTTCCATCACAGTAATCCGCTGGAAAAACCAGATCGATTCCTTGACCCCCGCCTTGACTGCGCATTTCATGACGTACCCGGCAAAGGGAATTTCCCCGCCACCTCCCCGGACACTCCCCGTCACCTCCTTGTTTACCGTACATCCCGTAATTGTTGCGAAGTCTCGTCGTATGAGGGTAATTTTCGCGCCACCGTCCACTAGTGCATCTGTGTGGTGGGTTCCGATCTGGACTTTTAACTTTCATACGAGCAGCGCATGAAAGCTAAGCTTCGTCCCGGGCGGTGCCCTCATGACTTCACCACCTTCTCGGTCTGGCAGGCTTAAGCGGATGTCCGCAAAAGTTTTTTCTCGGTCCTCCAGATCCCCTGGAATTCTCTGGAGGTTGGAGACCCCTTGCGCTGCCTCAGCCTCCTCCGTTTCCTGCTCCTGTAGTTTCGGGGCCTCCGCTACCTCTACGCGTCGGCGTGTTGGTAGTTGCCTGAGATCTTTAAGCAATCTCGGGCTTGCTTGCAACATGGTCTGAAAGGATACAGATACCATGGTACCTAGTAGTTTGCTGAGGGTATCGTCGATTTCTGGCATAGTCAGAATCGGAATCTGGTACCTGAATTTATTCTTTGGCGCCACCGCTTTGTCTATCGGCTCCTCTTCCCTTGCTTTTCCGTAGGCTTTCTCCGGCTCCCCGATTTCAGTTTCACCTTGATTTGCGCTAGTCCCCGCGACCTCTTTCATTACCGTATCTCGGATGAGTTTTTTTCCCGCCCTTGTCCGACGGGTGGTGATGTTCACCCTATCCTGTCCATTACCCTCTATAATGAAATTGACTTGTGGTCCGCGTCCCCTCGGTTGGTCCCAAACAATGTTAGCTACCGGCTCGGCTTCTACGATAGCTATATTCAGGTTATTCAGGATGATGACGGCACGCCGCATCCCTCCTGGCGAATTCCAGTTTATGCGCTCTCCCTGAGGCCCGAAAATTTCACCTTTAAGGGACGTGCTGCATCTTTGCCTCATAATATCATGGTTGAGTCTTGGGTAGGTCCACACGAAATATCCGATCATTGTGCAGTACTTGCATTGTTCATTAGCCGGATCCCGCCTGCCATACCCTTGATTCGCTACTGTCGCCGGAACTACGGCCTCTTGGGGCGGGAGGGCGGGTCGGGATACTTGTGTCTGCATTACTAGTAGTGCGTTTTCCACTCTTTCTATCTTGTTATCGACCCCGTGCACTCGTTCATGCAGGCTTTCTATCCCCTTCTTGACCTTATCCCCTGTTTTCTCGTTCAGGTCTATAACCTCTCCTTCCTTAAGCAGGGCTAGCGTCTCGGTCACCACTGTCTTTTCTGCGAGGTCTGTTACTGTGCTGAAGTCCACATCCCTTGTGTACTTAAACTTACTAGTCTGCTGGTAGGCCGACAGGATCTTATCTTTGTCGAACTCGGAGTCCTGCCTGAGGAAATACTTGCTCATTATTCGGTCTGTTACCCCGGGAATCCGTAGCGCTACTAGGGTAAATGCCCTCAGGAAGTCATTGTAAGTCGCATAGTTCTTCCTTTGGACCGCTGCCAACTCAGCTTCTGTTGTCATTTGCTCTACCTTCAGGTATTTCCTCATCATCTCGTTCCGGGTCTCTTTCCAGGATCCACTAGAGGCGACGATGGCCATAATGTCCCTTCCTAAGCTTAGCGACACATGCTGCCCTAAGTGGTCCATCTTCTCTTCCTCACTCCATTTCAATAGGGCTACCAAGTTCTCGTAGTCTATCAGGAACTCCGTAATGTTCGCCCCGTCGAAAGTGAGTTTCTTCTTGGCATCCGCAAGATACCCCTGATTCTTATTCAGAGCCCGAGTGAGGGTGGCTACTATCCTCTTGAGACCCCCCTCAGAGCTACCCGCTTCACCGACCGCACTGGTCCCTTCTCCTTCCTTGCTATCCCTCTGCTTTTCCCCGGCCTTTGGCGTACCCTCCGGATCAAACCATCCTAACACCCTTTCTCTGAGACTCCAAGGTCTGTCGCACGCCTTCGTTACAGACGGCTAGCACCACTGTCCATAGCAGGTGGGGTCGTAGCCTTTTCTGCTTCTACGACCGGGGAGTCCCTCTTCTTCTTCCCTTTCTTGTTGGGTGTTCCCCTATGGCTATTATCCTTCCCTCCATGTCTGACTTCGCCCTGGCTGGCCATGCGTTCCTCTCGTGACCCTTCTCCAAGAAGGTCTCTTTCGTTCCCAGCCATCATCTCTTCAATAAACCTCGCCTTATACTCTGCGGTTCGTTTTTCTATTTCTGCCAGCTTACGGCGTGCATCCGATACTTTCGTTTTCTTGGGCGTGGTCCCCTCCGAGTTTCGAGGACTCGACCTGCCATTGTCCCTTCCTTCCTTATTTTCCTGGGGTTCTCTTTTGCTTTCCCCGACTTTCCCCGAGCTTTCCCCTGTCGAAAGGTCCTTTCCGTCTTCCATGGTCCCTTCTGGTTTTGCTGACTCTCGGTCCCTTATCGACCCTTCGTTCCGTTTCACACCCCTATCCGTGCCCTGACTCCCTTTGCTCCGCAAATTCCCAACCTCTTCTTCCGACGTCATCTTTTCCTAGCCCTGCACACGGAAAAAAAAAATTGCGAAACGACAGGTCGTTCACGGCTTCCCTAGTTCCCAGATCCTAAGGTCTTTATCTTTACTATTTCCATATTTTTATCGTCTCATATTTGTCGTGACGGCTTAGCTGACGTTTTCTTTCTCCGCAAGGTTCAACCTTCCTTCCCTTTGTCGGAAGGCTCGTTGCCGAGGTTCAACGTTCTGTCACTGTCGTGCCTCTGCTTTGAGGCAGTATCCGAGATTGTCACTGTCGTGCCTCTGCTTTGAGGCGGTATCCGAGATTGGCGGCTCTCTCCTCGAGGATGACCCTTTTTGCCTTCCCGGCTCCCGGATTCCCTCAGCGTCCCGGTCCCTTCCCGCTGCGCTTTTGGGTAGGATAGGACGCCGAGCACAACCTTCCGTAGGTGGTTAATCCCCTATTTTCAATTACTCTCGCTGCCTTTTTCCCGGTACTTTTCTCACACCGACCCCTCATGCCTGTCCTGTTTGTCAGGTTCCGCAAACAGGTTGGCCACCCCCGCAAGATAATTTTCTCTCATTTCTATTTCCCTGATAATTATTGGTTCATACTCCTCAAACGCCAAGCGTGGTAACCCGAATATCAGGATTTCGATGAGTTCGTGTAGTTCACGGGCCTGGTTTCCCCAAAACGGCACGTGCCTAACTGACACATCGTAAAACATTCCCGTCGTCTGCGGCCGAAAATAATGGGTCCAGACTAGGGTCGAGTCCACCAGGTCCCTTGCCCTCGAGAGGCTGCCGAATACCAGGTCCACCATGAAACGAGGCACTCGGCACCGCAATCCTGTCATCGGGGCCCTAAACTCTCGCCATCCTCCTACCTCTACCCGGGTTCTCAGTCCCACGTTCCTTCTCCCTCGCACCTCCTGGCCTATCCGGTTCATTATCCTAGTAGTCCTTTGGAAGATCGGTAGCAGCCCATGCCCTAGTGCCAACTCCGTTCCTAGCATGTGCCATCCAATCTCCGGCAGGTATACGGTTCCTGTCACCTTCAGGTCGGTGTACAGGTCGTCCCTCGGCCCCCTATTGAACCTCATACTGTTCCACAAACATTCTACCATCATAAACGCCTGGTCCCTTCCCAAGGTCACAGCTCTCCATTCGGTGTCAATCCCTCGGACCATGTAGCTTGTCGGGAGCGATACCTCCCATCCGTCTCCACTTTCCGTGGGTGGCCGAGGGTGCGTGGGCCGTCGCGACATCCGGGCGCATCTCATCGCCATTGTTGATTAGCGGTCCCCTACACAGTTTAAACAGCAAGCGAGCCTTACTTATTTCATCCATTCTTCGACCCTCACCTGGGCAACTCCCCGGTCCTTAAATCGATATCCTTTCCCTTTTTTATTCCCCTCTCTTTTCTTGTCTCTTTTATCGACCTGTCCCTACTTCCGTCGGCTCATACAGGCAGTACAGGTCGTCTACGTAAGTCATCCCCCGACTTACCTCTCCTCGAACAATGCCCCATAGAACCTCGTCGCTAACAACCGGAGCTCTAGGTCTGGTGGTAAATACAGCACGCAAGATTCGCAGTACCTCATACCTCTGTTCGCCGTTGAATGGTCCCATTTCCAGGAAGGCCCGGTAATATTCTCGGTGGACCATCGCTTCCTCAAACGTCAGGTAGGCGAGGTCGGCCACTGCCCGCCTGACAAGCTCCAGCCCGCTTAGCTGTTCTAGTAAGAAAGGCGGCAACCTCATTCGGACGTTCTCACTAGGCAGGTTGAATCTCCCAACTATGGCTACCCTAAGGTTTGTTGTTACATCATCGAACTCCGGGTCAGCGAACTCGAACCCCACTTGCCACACTACTAGTTGTCATGCCCCCTCAAACAGGCTTACCGGATCTTCACGTGACGCTAACAGGACTCCGAACGCGCGCCATCCATCCTCCGACATATACAACCACCCCTCTGTGCGCACATGTCCCCTTGAGTCCGGGTTCCATTCGCCATCTTCACCTGCCCTCCACTCAACCTTGATCACTAAGTAAACCGTATTCTCCATAAGCTCGATTCCGATCCAATCCGTCACTGGTTGTCGGACCTCATTCGTCGTCGGTAGGCTGATTTCCACACTGCCAGCCACTTCCATCAGCGGCTCAATTCCTAGTGGGCGATTCTCGAAGAATGTCCTCCGTCGTGCCATCGCGCGCCCTTTGCTTGCCTTCAATTCTTTACCCCGCGGTCTGCAGCAACCCCTACAATAGCCAGATATCCCGTCCCTTATCTTAGTATTCCTTTACTCGACTAGTCCCTGCATGGTGCTCATCTCCTCCCATCTATGCTTCCCCTTAATTTTTCCCTCTCCCTCTTCTTTTCTTCCTTTTACCCCCTAACTTACCCCACTAGCCCGGGTTTTTCCTGCTCTTAATCGAACCACAATACTTCGAACAGTTTAAACACAACATCCACATAGCATGGTGTCGCTGCTACCTCTCGGCGGATTATGGCGTCCCTGACTTCTGGGGCCACTTCTAGCCGATCGTTCCTGTCTACATCCAAAATAATGAGGACCTCCCAGACTCTGTCGCCTTGGAAGGGCCTGAATTTCAGCGATGTTTTATAAAAGATTTATGTCAGTCATGCGCAATTCACTTGCACCCGTCCCATAGTGTTGGCCACCTCCGCGACGTGGTCGAAACCCCAAACCAGTCAGCCACGAACTCGAGTACCCAAGTCTTGATTTGTAGGCAGGGGGGCATAAACTCCCTCCATCCCCCGATCACGACCTTAATGTTGACCACATCCCATCCTTTGTTGGCAAACTTCTCACCTGCCTGTCGAACCCTTGCCTCAGCATCCCCCAGAAGCCACATCAGACTTTGTCCTGCTGCGAATCTGGTGCATAATAAGTGTCATCCCTGCTCAGAGAGGACGATCGTCCCGACCGATTCCACCCTACCTTCCGCAATCTCCTCCCATCCTTCCTCTACCCTTAACGAGTTTCAGATGCGTTCTACCCAAAGGTACGACAACTCCGGCACAATCTCAAACCCAACACAGTCACACGTGGTTCCTCTCCACTCATCATCCGCTGGTATAGACATCTCTACCCCCCCCTTAGCTCGCCTCGGCTCCCATCCTCTGAACGTGCAGTCCTGTAGCTGGAGCTTTCTAGCCATTTCTTCCTTCCTACATATAGCCGACCATCCATTTTCCCGGGTAAGCCCCTTTCTCAGAAGTCCCAATCCTCTATCTCGTCATCGTCCTCGGTATCGCTGAAATCATCCTCTTCATCAAAGAACAGGTCCTTCAGTCCTTCTATGAAGGTCTCCCGTACTGCCACGTTCCAATAAATTATCTGCCAGTGCACTGGGCTAGGGACAAAGACGTCATCCGTGCTAAGGAGGTTCAATATATACGCCAATTCCTCCGCCCAGCTCCCTCCGAACGGCTCCACTTCTATTTACAGTCTGAAAAAGTCCTGCCGGCGCACTGGTACAGCCTCAAGTTCGTCATTGACTGACATATTTGTTCCAACCTGTCTCTAGTTCCAAAGACCGCATCCACCAGAAATGGGGGTAGCACGCATCTCATTGCCCTAAGAGGCCATCTCACATTTTCTCTATCCCCGAGCTCCACTCGCACCTCCACTTTGTCCATTTCCATTTTCGTCCGCTGACACGCTGCCCATACCACTTCTCGTTCCACTTGTCTAAACAACGAGTCCCACGCCGTCCCCAGTACTAATTTTATTACCATTTCATTTTCCCTTTCCTAGGACAAGTAGACCCACCCCCGGGCTTCCACCGTTCCCCGAAATTCCAAGTCCATCAAGCTTGGTGACAGTCTCGTCAGGCTACCCTTTGTCCATATCGTCTCTATCCAGAGAAACGCATCCTTTTCGTCCCCTTCACAGTTTGATACACTGGTTTCAAGTTCGTCCACGTTCCTTCTTCCGGGAGGACGACGGATACCCCGCCCCTTTCATCTATCGGCATTTCCGGACCACTAGAATAGACTGGAGACGACAACCACCGCGCCATCTCGTTTTTCCCGGTCCCGGTCCCTGCTTTCAGGAGAGAGCACCACACGGCCCCTCTGGTTAGGCTAGCCCCCCCCCTTTAATTCTAGATGAGCATTATTTTAGACCCTTCATCCGGGTCTCCGTAATTTTCCCTGCCCATTTCCCGAGCACCATTGTCCTCATTGTACTCCCAATTGGTCATTACCAGCCGGCGTTCCTTTTCTTGGTTCCATTTCCTTCCGACTCCTATCCTGGCTCCTTTCCATCTTCTCTCACTTGTGCGGATTTAGAAGGAGGCGGGAATAGACTTAGAAAGCTTGGTCCCATCCCAACAATCTCAAGCAACTTTACAAAGGGGGACACAAAAGAAAAAAATTCAGGCAATCCTCGCACGCAGGCCGATCATCTCCTCAGCGGCCTTTTTTCCCCAAAAGTGGTCTCTCCACTGTTACTATCGGCAGAGTTTTATCCCGTACCTCAAGCACAACTCAGCCGTCGTGAGCAAGGTACCCAGGCTCTAGCAAGGCGTTAGCCCTTTCCTTGTACCCAGAATACACCATCTTGTCTTGCCGCTCTTGCACATCCATACCGACACCGAGGGTTACCTCGTGTGCCTAAATACAGGGACAAAAGTCAGCCGTCCGGGCATTCACTTCCATCGGTCCAACAAGAACCAGCCTTTCCCAAACCATGCTACGAGAGGCTACTAATCGTCTCCGAGGCTCCGTTTTTGTCCACATGCAGTGGTACTACCCCCCGCCAGCCAACAGGCTAAGTCCCGCCTGAGGAGACCTTTCGCACCCCATCCGGCTAATCATCGAGTCAAGCTCGTCACTGCTCGAACGGGGATGCTACTAATCAACTGGCGTGACAAACTCCCGTTTGACAGCTCGGTGGCCTGACCTCCACACACGAACACACGACAGCCTACAAAAAGAGAGCGACGTTTCGCAACCTGCACCGGCTGGTGCAGACCAATCCTTTCCTTCCGAAAGGCAGGACGCTCAAATCCCATCATGCAAACACAAGTCCCAAGTGGGACACACATAGTACAAGTGCCTTTCCCTTGGTGCACCCAGCGCTTCCTACCCATATCTCACCACTTTTCTTCTCAGAACTGTGTGTGCGACTCCCCTTACTTCCATACATAGTGGTTGACTCCTTTTCGTGGGCATCTTCGAGGGTGAGCCGGTTTTCCTTGGAGTCTAGCAACTCCCTTCATTCCCTTAGCTTCCTTTGTATGTCCGTTCATAGGGCATGATTGTTCCTTCTCGATTACCATTTTGTTCATATCAGGTTCCTTCAGACATTTCAAGTGGAAGTGCAAGGAGCTTGTTGGGCTCCGAAGAAGAGAAAAGAAGGCACCCATGTCAGTCGGATCGCTCCACCGCGGGATTTTCTTTGGAACCCGGCCTAGGTTGAGCACCAACCGCCTGCCAGGTAACTGGAGCCCTTCTTTCACACGAACAGGAAGGGTCGACCTGCGTCTTGCCCAAGGCTTCCCGGGACTTACGAACATCAGCCCGAAAGAAGGAGGACTAGAGTCACCTCCTGAGGAGGCGGCTAATCAAGTGCGCATCATGCATGTTATTCCACCAGGCCTGGCCTTGCCATGTGCCCAGCCGCCCTCAAATCTGATTCTCTCAAGGGAATAGAGCATACACAAGTCCTCGTTCCTTATCTTAATGTTGTATTCGCGTTCATGCGTCGGGCGCCCCCCTCGAGATCGTATGGGTCAGTTTAACCCATACCCGACACCTCCACCATTTTTGTAGCAACCATACCCTGAAGAACTTTTGAGCCTGGGTCGACCCCACTGCGGGTCCCATTTGGCTCGACCCGCCCACGCTCAAGCTCAGGGAGCGGGTCGTTCGTCCCAGGGACACCCCCACCTAGTGCTATGACATGGATGGGGATGAACCTTTTGCGAGAGGGCTTTAAATTGGGGGATGCAGCTCCGCTCTCTCATTGTACCTCTTTGGTCACTCGTGGCGTTTTCTCGATTCACTTAAGTGTGGTCAGGCAATTGCTCTTTCCAATACACAAGCAGTCCAGAGAATTCGTTGAGGATTCGTTTTCTTTCGTGTGTAGGTCAAGCGTCATGCATCGGGCCACACACCTTTTCACTAAGCATGGCGATCTCTATGGCGTCATCGGGGTGCGGCCGCGCCGTCCATGCCCCTAGCCTCTATATTTTTTTTGCTTGACAATCATCCTACTCGCATATCCATTGTCGCCCTTAGTCTTTTCGGGCTTTCGAATTGCACACAAAAGAGCCATGTCATCCATTTATCATGCAAAGTTGCACTCCGTCGTCGGTCCTTTATCCAAGCATTCAACCATCAGGCCCCATCCAGATTCATAGTTTACGCTAGGCCCATTTCCTTCCCTTATCGGGTTTCCCATTCTTGCCCGCATTCGGCGGGTCCAGTCCCGCTAAATCCATCCTAAGCTACTCACCTGCGCAAGACCACACAAGCAAAAACCAAGTACAATCCCCATTGGGGGTCACCACATCGCCCCTCCTGCAAACCTAAGTTCCTTTCCCTTCCAATGACCCTTTTGGTTCTCTTTCCCTCCCTTCAAGCAAGCCATGCCTTCTCCTCAGTCATGCAGTCGGGGAGAATAGTTGAGGCAGACTGACCTGGTCTCAAGCCTTTATTCTTTCAACTCTTTCGAAAGATCCTACCTTTCCAAGTTTC